AAGCTCCAACCTTAAAGCATCCACAATATGAAAGATTTGAAAACTTTATTCCTTAGTGTAGAGTTTTTCAAATATAACCTTTTAACAATGATTTGTTATTTAACAAGCTTTTGAGGTGAACTTTTTCAATATTTTAGTGGGATTCGTATCTTTCAACAAATAAAGGACTTAACAAAAGAGGTTGTTTATCATTTTGTTGGGTCCATATGTAATATTTATTATTTTTAATTTATGAAAAAAGTTAATTAAAAAGTTTTCTTATTATGTAGCTATTTTGAGTTTTCTATTTTGTAGAAGTGATATGAAAAAGCTTAGACACAAAACTTTATTATATCTTTAAAATTGTTAAATAACAAGCTTATTAGTTTGGTTTTGAAAAAGCTGTTCTGATGGCTTGTTTAAATCTTAAGAGCTTTTTAGTTTAAAAAAGTTTAGTGAAATAATTTATGTTGTGGTTGCTCAACAAGTCCCATTCAAATTATATCATTTAAAAAATAAGGTCCATGTACTTTCTTTAGGGCCACTACTAATACTTTAATTTATACAAATAATTTAGTTGCTACTAAAAGTGATCCTTCCCTACACACAATGTCTACCCAATTATGGTTTGAGCTTTCCTCCCTCTCACCTACCCCATGGACCCAATTTAAAGCCCTAAAGTTCTATAAATTCTCAATTTGATACTTTGGGGGTGTTTGATAGTTGTCGAATGAGTTAGACATAACCTCAAATTTGACTCAGTAAGAGGCTATATGATCAAATTAGAGGCTATATGACCAAATCAAACACTTCTATATGAGGTATCGAACAATATGAATCTGATTGAATAAGACCTAACCTCTAACCATGAATTTGGCACCTGAGCCTTCACATGGATCATCTTCCTAATTTAGGGAGAAGAAAAGTTTCCTTTAATAAAACATCTCCAACTAAGGTGTAAGATCTATGACCTTCAATCCTAAAAACCACAAATGTTTATGAATTAAAGTCCTTCATGCCCGAAAACTCCGACCATGCAACGTGATTCGGACACTAGGGTTAGGGTTTTTGCATAGTCGATTATCAAAATCAATATCCGATGACAAAAAAACATTCAATTACCCATAGTAGGAACATGAAATCATTTCATTAGGGATGTCGAAGAAAAAAACAATCTGTTAGAAAAATGGAACACGAATTCTAGCTTCAGATTTCTCAAAACGACTTAAAAGTTCCATAGTTTCTAGTTGTTGTTTAGTTTGTGGTGTTGGAATACATTTGAATATAGCCAAAGGGTATCTAGTGTTGACATGATGCCTCTGAGCCCAAATGGATGAGTGTTGAAGTTATGTATGCGACAATCGTTTAATTTATGAGTAGTTAGTTAGAGTGTAATGTATTATTTTTAATAAAAAACTTACTTACATATATGAGTAAATTATAATTTTGGTGGTTGAGTTAAGCTTATTTTTGGATTTCTCTCTCTAAAATATTCGTATTTATGTTTTGATCCTTATTTTCATATTTCATAAAGATTTTGTTCCTAAGTAGCTTAAATTAAACACATTGTTAAATATATGAAAATTGACCATCTTATTTTTATATTATTATTATTATTATTATTATTAAATTATCAGTTATTTTTTCTTTAAGCTTGTTCCAAACCTTTCCCTTCACCCCTTCATTTCACAACTGACCTCCCCGTGGTACCACCACCACATCACCATTAGTCATCATTTCCAATCTTATAGACTATTTAACACCTCAATTATTCTATGGTATGGGCTCCCTTGGTTTTGGAGATCAAAGAACCCTAGGGTAAATGAAGCTCCAATTACCGCATTCTCACCTTTATTCTTGTGTAAATAGGAGTTGTATCGTGTTTCATTGAACCACACTCATGATGCAAGATATTCCATTGCTGGAAGAAACCTAAATGAACCCTTTATAAATACATCCTTAGGAAAAACTCCTTGAAACAAATTGCCAACAAAATTGAATATCAAATAACAATATTTCAATCTATAACCAATAAAGATTTCAACATATCAAATTCACAAAATCAATAAGCGGTCCTACACTACCTAATCACAAAAATAAAATTCCAACCTACACATAACATTTGATTCATCAAACAAAAAAGAAAGCAAAATGACTACAAAGTTGAAAAAACAACGAAAAAGTATGAAACTTGCATGTTAAATAGTTAGGTTTACAACAGTTTGGGGACGACCCGTTACAAGGTTCGACAAATGAGTGAGAGAGTGGTGGTGAGTGCCGAATAGGATTAGAATTAAAACCAAGACCCGAAGTAGAAGATTAAAGTTTTTTTTTTGAAACGGCAAATCTAATCTAATCATAAACTATTTCTTAAATCCATCTATATTCACGACAAATTTTCTTGCCTTTTTTAAGAATGCGATTCGGTTCCCAATTCAATGAGATAAATTCTTATGAAGTTGCCGAGGATGAGGGGATCGGTCCCGATGAAGATGAATGGAAATAGGAAATCTATTATATTTAATAATAAAAAATAAATTCAAAGGTTAAAATGGTCAATTTTGTTAAGATTAACTATGAGTCTGTTAAATTTGACGATCAAGTGACCTAAATAGTAAATCTATCATAAAACATTCACCAAAATTGAAATCAAAACCCAAAAAATGTTAAGGACCCAAATTGTAATTCACTCAATATTTTTAGTTTCCCCCACGTAAACCCCACGTCGCCACGTATGTTTTCTTATGAATTTCCTTCACTTTCCAGTCTTCCCTCCCCCGTGACTGAAACGGCTGCGAAATTAGTTTCAAACTGCTACGAAACTCCATGGAAGCTCACTTTCGTGCTTCTGCATCTATAAACCCTACACCTTCCATCTCCAAACGTCACCACTTCAATGTTCACAGAAACTGGTTAGCTAAACTACTAACAGCAATTCTCATCTCCTCGATTCCAATCATAATGGGAATCCAAATCCCTCTCTATAAGAAGGAAATCCTAATTCCTAACAGCAGGATCGAAAGAGATTCTCACGAAATCCCCGGCGATTACCAGCTGATTCCCTTTTACGCCGTCATTATGATACCCAACTTCATCGGTACAATCTCGAAAGCAATCCGCCGCAATGAGAATTCATTTGTGATGATCTTTGTAGTTGTTTATGTGGGATTCGTTTTGTCGAGATTTTTCTTGTCTAAATACGTTTCATTGCCTAAAAACGAGAAATTGATGCAGCAAATGTGGCTGAAGTTGGATATCTGGTTTCTTTACACGGTGATAACGTTCGGATTTGTTTATCAGTTTGCGGATTTCTCACCACTGCAAACGACGGTGGCTATGTACATGGTTGTGTCGGTGTGTAGTTTAGTTCTGTTGTTTGTGTTTGTAATCGTTGATGTTATTGAGTTTTGGAAGATTTGGAGATACGGAGAAGATCATGAAACTCAGTTGTCTGAGAATCAGATGACAGATGCCGGAAAATTGAATTCTTACTCTGTCTCGATCTGGGAGAAAGTGTGATCGTCATGTTTGATTACTCGGGAAGAATGGAAACAGTTATTAATCTGTGTTGTTTGATAAATAAACAAATATAATTAAATGTAATGAAAGTAAATGAAAATGTCAAATATACCCCTACCAATTCCATAATGTATTTTCTTTTCTTTCAAAAACCTATACAAACGCACATATAAACATCCTACCTTCTTTGTGGTTAGGCTCTTGGGTATACTACCCATGCCAATGGCACGATGATGATGTGGGAAGAGCCTCTCTCTCTCTCTCTCTCTCTCTCTCTCTCTCTCTCTCTCTCTCTCTCTCTCTCTCTCTCTCTC